GCTGGCTGGAGAATTCTGGGAGTTGAAGTCCACAAGTCTTAAAGTTGCCAAGGTTGGAGACCTCTGATCTATGCCACCTCACCCTTTGCCCTGCGGTACCCACTGTGGGGCCTTTCTTTCTCCTTGGCTCTTTCATTTGTTTATTTGATTGATTTGATTTGTCAGTCGCTTATAAGATACAGATATAAGAATAAACATAGTTTTGAATACATGTGATGGAGACTTCTAAGAAAAATAAAAAGAAACAGTAGGACAGGCACGTTGGTGCGCTTATGCACCTCCCACACAGAGACCTTTTAGGAAAGGGGTGAGGTCAATAGTAGACAGTCTAAGGTTAAAGTTTTGGGGGTTTGGGGAAGAATCCACAGAGTCAGGTAGAGTATTCCAGACATTGACCGCTCTGTTGCTGAAGTCATATTTCCTGCAATCAAGTTTGGTGCAATTAACCTTGAGTTTGTATCTATTGTTTGCTCAAGAGCAAACAATAATGTTATAATTGAAGCTGAAGTATTCATGGACAGATAGGACATTGCAATGGATGATTTTATATACTATATTTAGATCGGCCCGTAGGTGGTGTAGTTCAAGGTTTTCTAAGTCTAGAGTTTCAAGTCTGGTGGCATAAGGTATTCAATGAGTAGAGGAGCGGAGGACTCTTCTTGTGAAATATTTCTGGACTTTCTCAAGTGTGTTAATATCAGATACATGATATGGGTTACAGACTCATGAGCTGTATTCAAGTATAGGTCTAGCAACTGTTTTATATGCTCTAGTTAGTAGTGTGATATTACCAGAGAAGAAGCTATGTAGGATTAGATTAACAACTCTTAATCTTAAACTCTTAGCTTCCTGTCTCTCAATTAAACAATGTCAAACTTCCCCTAAAAGTTTAATCTATCTGGGTTGTTCTGGATTCCAACAACTCTTTCAACTGAAATTCAACTAACATTTAATTGGTGAGATTCCATTTTTTTTTACTACCGGTTCTGTGTGTGTGGCTTGGTGGGTGTGGCAGGGAAAGGATACTGTAAAATCTCCAGTCAGAGGTGGTATTTGTCAGTTCTCTGAACTACTCAAAATTTCCACTAACGGTTCTCCAGAACTGGTCAGAACCTGCTGAAGACTACCTCTGATACAAAACCTTTGCCAGACCAGTTCTTGAATACAGTTTGTCCACCTGGAACCCACACTGTATATCGGACATTAACACAATTGAGAAGGTTCAGAGGTATTTCTCGAGAAGAGTACTCTATTCCTCTACTCACAATAGAATTCCCTATGCCCCCAGGCTTGAAGTTTTGGTCTTGAACAATCTTGAACTGCGCTGCCTGTGGTCCAATCTAAGCATAGTACACAAAATTGTCTGCTACAATGTCTTGTCTGTCAGCGACTTCTTCAGCTTCAACCACAATAATACATGGGCAAACAATCAATATACACTCAAAGTAAGCAGCTTCAAACTCAGTTGCAGAAAATATGACTTCAGCAATGAGAGTGGTCAACGTCTGGAACGCTCTACCCAATTCTTGTTACAGCCTCAAACCCTCACAGTTTCAACTTCAAACTGTCTACTATGAACCTCACCCCATTCTTAAGAGGTCCTTAAAGGAGGCGTGCGTGGCCACCTCAAAGAAGCACTCAACTGGAAAAGAAAGTGCAGGAAGAAGATACGAAGTGGAAGTTTTGGCTGACCAGGATAAAAAGCAACAACTAAGGTACCCTGGAATTTAAACTTTATAAAAGATAACATCACTCTCAAAGAAGAGTTGGAAGCAGCGAAAGAAAGAGAAAAGGGAAAGTTTTTTACTTCTTCACTCTCCTTCCTCACATTGACAACGAAAAAGAGCTGAATAAGAAATCAGAAAAATCTACTTTGGCACCGATAGATAATTAAGCTGAAAATAACATTTGCCAAAGGGACAATAAAGATTTCTGGACACTAAAAAATCCTTTTTTTTTTGTTATAAGCAGGAAGGGAGAGGAAAAGAATAAGGGCAGGATTTGGAAGGAGGAGACTTCCTGGAATTTAAAAGAATCTAAAGTTAAATCTCAATAAGACTTTTAAAGGATACATTTTAACTGGAACTTTGTAACTAAATAGTAACCCCAGGAAGAGAAGGTGAAAAAAGAAGAAAGCGTAAAAAGAAACAGCTTGTGTGTATTTGGATTGCTTGGTGACTTTGGGATTTTTTGAAATTATATTTGAATGACTAAAAACAATTAGGTGGTTGTTTAAAAAATTCTACAATGGCATCGAAGAGATGTACGAAGAGATGTAACCCGGGATCATGCTACTTTCAAAAAAGATGTTTTATGTTTTTATGCTCTATGTTTTGGTTGTTTATGTTTGTTTTTAAAAACCAATAAAATTTTCAAAAAAATAAAATAAAAGAAATCATTGCCTGACACTACGACCTCCTTCAAGGCAGCCCAAATAAGACTCAGAAAACTTCACCTACTGCCTGAGGGTTTGTGGTCCAATTCACCCATCTGCTGTCATTTTTAGTTCCTCTAGCAACAGAAGACCAGATCACTGAACTCTGAACTTTATTTCATGGCCAAATTTTAGTCAACATTTTAACAGCATTTCACATAATCTCAGCCACGAAGTTGCACTTGAAAAAAAAGAAAGAAGTATTTTATGACATACCCACAGTTCCTTGGACAGGAAACGATGATGGCCACCAGTCCTCTATAACTATTGCTGGCTGCAGTATTTTGCTCTTAAAGGTATGGTCACAGATTTTTGACATGGTGAACAATTTCAAACACTGCCTGTGTCTTCTAGAAGTTGGCAGGGCAGCAGTAACCATTGCTGACCCTAAGCATCACCTCTTTCTACTAGTGGTCCTGTGCCAGATATATCTACCACCACAGACTGGCAGGGATCCCACACCATGCTGGATGCAGCCATAGTGTTTTTCATGCCAAAACTTGACTGTTCAAAAAATCCTGCACCTGGCAAGACAGAATACAAATGCTGCTACCATGGCTTCTATCTCAGTGTTTGCTCTGTTGCCAACTGAGGCTCTCAGTATACTTCTAATAACTGCAGCCAGAAGCAAGTCCTTGGAAATAGCTCAAGAGCAATGACTGCTTACTTTCTTCACTGTTACTGCTTTTGAAATGGTGGCAGTTCTCTGGTGGTTGGTATTGGTGCCAGCCTTGTTTCCTCCATGAAAGGAGCAAAGCTATTTTTCTACAAATGATACTGATTGTGAGTGCTTGAATGTTGACTCTTT